TCTTGGCGGCTTCTTGGGCCGTCTTACGGCTATCCTGGTTGTTTTTGAGGCCTCGTTTGTTTGCGTGTTGGAACCCAGCTCGAGCAAGCGTAGATGGAATCTTAAGCATCTTGAAGGCCACGGCGTGTCGAAATGGAGGCTCCGACGACCCTGGGGAAGAGACCCCCCCCGGGCTCCCCCCCGCCCCCCCCCCCCCTAGGGGGAAAAGGGGGAGAGGGACAGCCAATCAGTTCACGCCTCTTTGCACCCCCAGCAAGTGGGGGTCGGAGGATATGTGTATACACATATGTGTATATAGATGTATATATATATATGTATCCACACAGACGTGCCTATATATGTATAAATACGACTAAGCATCAACATCAGATGTGCTTAGCACCATCAGCATGTTGCTAGATCGGTTGCAACCATGCTCGTAAATTTGGGCCCCCTCACTGGTTTTGGCTCGAGCGAATGCCTTCGAGCCCCGACCAGGAACAGATCTACAATCTGATATGTTCCGGCCTGGCGTGTAGCAGCCAACATCTGACTAAGGTAATCCCATTTACTTTGCGACTGAGCATGTGTATTGCTCTATGTTGTACGCATGTATATACATAGACGGGGAGGCCCACTTGCAGGGATTGCATGGCATGAAACCAGCATTTGGCAGCCCAGCGACAAGCAAAGTAACATCTGTTACTGCGCAGCCATGCCACCAATGCCAACCTCAAGAGGGAGGACGAGTAGGAGCAGGAGGGCGGGCTTCTGGAGGCCTTCCTCGCCGCGTCTGGATTGGGCTCGAATGCCTGGCGGGGGGGAGCAGGAGCAAATGGGGTCTCGACATCCAGGCGCCGTGACACACACACACACACAGACACACACACAGGCATTCACATACACACACAGACACACACACAGACACACACACACACACACACACACACACACACACACACACACACACACACACACACACACACACACACACACGCACACGCACACACGCACACGCACGCACCCACGCACCCACGCACCCACGCACCCACGCACCCACGCACCCACGCACCCACGCGAGTGGGTCGCGGAGTGAGTCGCGGGTGGGTCGCGGGTGGGTCGCGGGTGGGTCGCGGGTGGGTCGCGGGTGGGTCGCGGATGGTTCGCGGGGTGGGTCGCGGGGTGGGTCGCGGGGTGGGTCGCGGGGTGGGTCGCGGGTGGGTCGCGGGGTGGGTCGCGGGGTGGGTCGCCGGGTGGGTCGCCGGGTGGGTCGCCGGGTGGGTCGCGGTGTGGGTCGCCGGGGGGTCGCGGGGGGGACGACGGCAACAAACAACAACAACAACAACAACAACAACGACAACAACAACAACAACAACAACAACAATAACAATAACAACAACAACAACAGCAACAACAACAACAACAGCAGCAGCAGCAGCAACAACAACAACAACAATCATTTTAAGTTTTTTCGCACGTATCTGCTCGAGTGTCCAATAACGCCTATTTTCCAAACCCTCGATACCCGCCCTCTTCGTCTTCGATCTAACCCCTTTTGGGGGGTATACCTTTCTTCCCTGCAGGCTGGGCCCCGGCAAGCGGCGGGGCGGCCGCGGCCGCGGACCGTCGACCAGACCCGAAGAGGGACGGACAGGGGACCGACAACGACGACAACGACGACGACGACGACGACGACGACGACGATGACGGCGACGAGCGAAAGCGAGAGCGAAAGAGAACGACAGCAGGGCCATGAGGACACGAAGTAGGCCACGAAGGGCAACAGCGGGGACACGAAGGGAATGCGCATGGGGCCACGAAGAGCGCGAACGAGCGGGGGCCACGAAGGGCAGATAATGCGGGGCCACAGAAGGCAACGACGCGGCCACTGAGGGTAGCAACTTGGCCACGTAGGACATATGCATATGGGGCCACCACGGGCGCGAACGAGCGGTGGCCACGAAGGGCATACATACATGGGGCCACGAAGGGCAGCGAGGGGGCCACGAAGGGATGCAACGGGGCCACGAAACAAAGCGAGGGGGCCACGAAGGGCTGCAACGGGGCCACGGAGGGCTGCGACCTGGCCACGAAGGGCAGCGAGGGCGCCACGAAGGGCTGCAACGGGGCCACGAAACAAAGCGAGGGGGCCACGAAGGACTGCAATGGGGCCACGAAGGGCAGCGAGGAGGCCACGAGGGGCTGCAACGGGGCCACGAAGGGCAGCGAGGGCCACGAAGGGCTGCGACGGGGCCACGAAGGGCAGCGAGATCCCGATTCCTATGTAATCTGTGAGGGGGTCCTAAGCGTGAGCGCGACTCCTGGGTGCCTGGGTGTCGAGAGCGCGGCGCTTGAGTAAATGACCGGAAATTCCAACGCAAGGGCGCTATTCTTCAGTAAATTGCAAGCAAGTCTCCAGCGAAAGCGCGACTCCAGAGCGCCGGGAGAATAGATTCTAAGGAAGTGCCAAGTGAAAGCGCGATTCTTGAATAAAGCGCGAGGAAGTCTCGGGTGGGAGCGGGGGTCCTGGCTAAATTGTGGGGAAGTCTCAGGCGGGAGCCGTTGTTGTTGTTGTTGTTGTTGCTGTTGTTGTCGTTGTTGTGCACCGGGGGCCAACGACACAGTTTGAAGCTCAAGACCCTGATTAAAAAAAACAGGGTGCGAACCCCGGGAAGAGTAGCGCGCCTGTCCAAGGTAAAACGAGAGGAAGTCTCGAGCGGTAGCGCTGGTTTTGTTGGGACGGCGGCTTTCGGCGGCGAGCAAGAGCACCGGCCCTGAGTAAATAAGGAGGAAGTCTCGAGCGGGAAGTTGTTGTTGTTGTTGTTGTTGTTGTTGTGGTTGTTGTTGTTGTTGTGGTTGTTGTTGTTGTTGTTGTTGATGTTGATGTTGGTGTTGTTGTTGTTGTTGTTGTTGTTGTTGCTGCTGTTGTTGTTGTTGTTGTTGTTGTTGTTGTTGAGTTCTCCTTTCTGAAGAATAGTTATTGTTGATCCCCCCCACCGGTGCATACTGTTTTTCTCAATCAAAGTGTGCCCCTCGACGTTCGCACCCTGTTTTTTGACAGGGAAAGTCTTCCTGGTCAAACTGGCCCCTTGGGCCCCCGCCCGAGACTTTTCGCATTTTATTCAGGAATCGCGCTCTCGCTTGGAACTTCTTTACAACTTATTCAGGAGTCGCTCTCCCGGCGCTCTGGAATCGCGCTCTCGCTGGAGACTTGCTTGCAACTTACTGAAGAATGGCCTTGCGTTGGAATGTCCTGCAATTTGCCCAAGCGCCGCGCTCCCAACACCCAGGCACCCAGGAGTCGCGCCCATTGTGGCCCCATGTGCATGCCCTTCGTGGCCCCGCTGTCGCCATTTGTGTCCCCCTCATTGTGCTACGTGGCCCAGTTGCTACCCTCAGTGGCCCCATAGTTGCCTTCTGTGGCCCCGCATTATCTGCACTTCGTGGCCCCCCGATCGTTCGCGCTCATGTATTCCCTTCGTGTCCCCGCTGTCGCCCTTCGTGGCCTACTTCGTGCCCTTCGTGGCCCTGCTGTCGTTCTCTCTCGCTCTCGCTTTCGCTCGTCGTCGCCGTCGTCGTCGTCGTCGCCGTCGTTTTCGACGTCGTCGTCGTCGTCGTCGTCGTCGTCGTCGTCGTTGTCGGTCCCCTGTCCGTCCCTCTTCGGGTCTGGTCGACGGTCCGCGGCCGCCCAGCCGATCAGCGCTGCCGCTGGCCAGGCCGACGGTCCGCGGCCGCCCCGCCGCTTGCCGGGGCCCGGCCTGCAGTGAAGAAAGGTATACCCCCCAAAAGGGGTTCGATCGAAGACGAAGAGGGCGGGTATCGAGGGTTTGGAAAATAGGCGTTATTGGACACTCGAGCATATAAGGGCGAACGGTCTAAAAATTATTATTGTTGTTGTTGTTGTTGTTGTTGTTGTTGTTGTTGTTGGGAAGCTGGTTTTGGCGCCCCCCAAACCGCTCGAGCGTGAGCCTCATTTTCAATGACAGTGTAGCCAGCGCCGAGGCGAGGCCTCCAAAGCGTCTGGGGGGGCAACAGTAATAATTGTTAGTAATGAACATTTTAAGAGCAACGCCGCAAGAAACATAATCCTCACCACGAATCCTCACTTCAGCCAAGCACCCAGAGACAATGAAAGACCGTTCGGCCCCTTCACTCTGAGATATCATACATAACCATATGCATGCATATACCTATACATGCATATACATACCATATACATGTATCTAGAGTTAGATGCGTATGCAAATATGTTTGTATATATACAAATATGTATATATGTGTGATTTGGCAATTTCCCTTCCTCTCCACCTCCTCCACCTCCCGTCTCGCTGTCTCTCTCTATCTTTTTCTTTTTTTGTGTGTGTGTCTCTCTCTCTCTCTCTATGTGCCTTTCTTTTTCTCTCTCTCTCTCTCTCTCTCCCCCCCTGTTTTTCTGCCCTCTCTACCCTTCCCTCCGCTTACGTACTTTCTCCTTCCAACTTCTTTGTGTCTTTCGCTCTTGCTCTCCTGCTCCCTTCCCTCCCGTCCCTCCCTCTCTCTCGTTCCATCCATCCCTCTTCTCCCTATTCGTGTCCCTTTCCGTGTCGCGCTCCGCCTTCTCTCTCTCTCTCTTTCTTGATATTGTTATCCATTTCTCTTCCCCCTGCGCCTCCCTTTTGTCTTTCTCTTCTCATTCGTTTCCTCTTTCCCCTCTTCCATTCCACCATCCCGCATTCACATCCCCGCATTCCCTGTTCCCTCTCCCCACGTCCCGTCTGTTCACTTCCCCCCTTCTCGTCTCTTAATCTATATGTCCATCCTCCATCTCTCTCGCCCTCATCCTCACTCCTCCCTCTCTGTCCCCCTCCCTCACCCTCTCCGCTTCTCCTTCCCATACCTCTCTGACTCATTACTCTGCTCTCTCTCCCTCCAGCTGCAGGGCTTCTGTCTCGGACTCTCTCTCGCTTCTGGGTGGCTACTTCCACCATTGCGTGGCTCATGCTACACGACATGCCTGACTCGCCCCCACTCCGCCGATGCACAGGAGAAGCGCGTCGTGGGCGGGCTGACCGGCGCAGTAGGGAAGCTAACGCCCTCGAGGCTCAACTACGGGATGGTCAAGGCCGGCATAGGAGGAGGGATGGAGGGAGGATCACTGGCCAAACAGCCAGGTTTGCGAGCGGGCCGCCATTGAACAGTATGTGATCGTTTTTTCCATTAATTGTTTTGCCGATCGGCGCGGGCCCCCAACCCCCCCCTCCTCCCCCCATGGAGTAGATCTTAGCTGTTTTGGGCGCCTGTTTCGAGCAGGTGGAGTCTCCCCTCAGAGGACCCACTGCTGCAAACGATCGCATTAAGCAGAGGTCCCGAGCTGGACCCCCCTCCTTCCCCCCCCCCCTTCCGCCCAATGTCGAAACGCCGAATTAAAAACACTCACTATCTCGGACGAGTCGTGGCTAAGCCGAGGAACCTACAAATGGGGACACCCAATGCTAGGGGCGCACCCCAGCTCGCAGTCTGCTGCCGGGGTTGTTAGATAAGGGCCCGCCCCCCCAGTAGCATCGAGGTGCTAGCCTGGTGCTCGCTGCTAGCACGTGCTGGCGCGTGCTGTTCGCGCGTGCTGGGAGGCGCACATCTGCCGCTCACGCCCCCTTCCGCGCGGAGCACTGGGCCTTCTTGGAGATTCAGGCATTCGCAAACATGGATCAAGGGGGCGTGGATTAGCGACGGGTCCTCTGTTGGGCAGTTTTGGGGCGTGTTGGGAGTCTCTTGGGGGGCCTCCTCCCCCTCCTCCTCCTCCTCCTCTTCCTCCTCCTCCTCCTCCCTCTCTCCTCCTCCTCCTCCTCCTCCTCCTCCTCCTCCTCCCCCTGTCATCCTTTTTTCCTCCTCCCTCCTCCTCCTCACCTCCTCCTCCTCCTCCTCTCCTCCTCCTCCTTCCTCCCCCCCCTTTGTCCTCCTTGTCCTCCCCCTCCTCCCCCTCCCTCCTCCCCTCCTCCCCTCCTCCCTCCCTCCCGCCCTCCTGCCCTCCACCCCTCCTGCCGAGGCGGAGCCCGCGGAGGAGGCCCAGGCGGCGCAGCCGCAGGAGAGCTTCCCGGCGGCGCCGGCTTTGGCGTCCTCTAGGCCGCTGCCGTGCACCCCGCAGGAGAAGCTGATACAGGCCAGCGCGGGCGCCGCCCGCTTCCCTCCCAGGCGGGAGGGTGATGGCGTGGTGCACGGGGTTGGGTGGAAGGAGAGAGGAGAAATGTGTTGCCGTTTCGCTCAAGGTTGCCGTTGCGCTTCCCTCTGCTTTTCGCTTGTCGCCTGGACACTGTCGTGCTGCTTCGCGTTCCCCTTCCCTCACGGCTGCACCCCCATGAGGGTCGCTGTCGATCCCCTATGGATGGATCCAGCGTCTCCCCGCCGGGTGAGCTGGGTCGGTCCGCGCGCTTCTTTGACCCTTTCTGCGCCGCGGCGCCGTGCGCGTGGCTGCGGAACCAACATGTGGTTCAAGGTTGATGAGAAATGTGTTTGCCCGCCGAGGGGAGTTTCGACAGGTCGGGTTTCAAACAATATGCTGAAGCCAGGAGCAGAGCCGCTGGACAGCTGGCGAAAGACCCGCCTTACTACTTGATTCAAACAGGGAGACCAAAACCTTGTCAAGCATGACCGCCCAATCGCCAGATCACCAATCATGCACAAGTTCTTCGCCAAGATACTTGCAACCTGCAACAATCAACAGTCATATCTAAGCAATCGGCGGACCAAGCAGCTTATAGGAAGGGGTACTCTACCACCGACCATCTCCTCGCCGTTACCCTGCTTGCAGAAAAATGTTCAGAATGGAATGTGGACCTCTTGCTTGGCCTCGACTATTTCGAGCAACCCTCTGGTACGTTCGAGATACCACGCCTGCGGAATTCATTGCGCGAACTTGGTGCGAGTGAAACTTGAGGGGTCTTATTACAGAAGTTGCAGATAGAGAAGATCCCAGACGGTCTTAGGCTCAGCCGAGTGTCGAGCAAGGAGACCCCATTAGTGCTTTGTTCTGTATCCCGGTCATGGGGGGCATATTTTTTGCAAAGTGTAGCACAGTCGGAACACGCCTAACAAGAGGATCTCGGGTAAATTGTTCGGTATGGTTCTCGATTCGGCCCTCGACATGTTCACGAGCTTGCGTTTCGTGTGCTGCTTGTAGCCCTGAGCAAAGCGGACGTCGCACAAATGGTACCGGACCTGCAGTCAGAAGCGCCGAAGTATGGATTGAAAGTCCACACGGGCAAGGCCAAAGTGATCACCAACAGTTCCGGGCAGCTGCCTGGGCACGTGCTTCTTGCCAGCGCCGGCGTCGATGTGGTTCGCGCCGAGGGCGCGGAACGATACTTGGGAAGGCAGCTGTGCATCGGCGGCTTCCACGACATCGAATTCTCGAACCGCGGAATCAACCGTGAAAGCCTTCCCGGGCCTGTCGATCTGGTCCGTAGTTTGCTATGGACATTTTGGGGTAATTTTTGAAGCCCTTTGGGGGTCTCTTTGGGGTCTCTCGGGCTCGGACTTTCCTCTTGGCCTTCGGAGCCCTTTTTGCGGCCAACTTGGAAGCCACAGATCAAAGAAAGGGGGGTTGTAAAGCATCCCCCCGCCCCACAGGGGAGTCCGCAAAGTCGTTTTTTGGGGGCGCTCTTGGGCGCTATTGCGCGCTCTTGGTGCTGTCTTGGGGCCCTCCTGGGTCCCAATTTCGGGCTCTCTTGGGCCAGCCTTCAGCCTCTTTGACGCATCAAGAGGCAATCGGAAGCGAACAAGTCGGAACGTCAGACATACATTGTTTCCCAGTAAGTTATTGGAAGGATCTGGGGCTCGCGGGGAGGTCCTTGAGGGGGGTGTCCGTGGCCTCTTGGAGCCGTCTCAGGACGGTCATGGACCCTCTTAGAGGCGTGTTGGAGGTTATTTTGAACCAGATTTGGAGAGCAGATTGGGCTATCTGGGTCCGTATTGCGGCCATATTGGGCAAGATTGGATGTTTCATCCCTTCGCGAGCACCCCGCACAGACCAAGGGAGAAGGAGTATGGGGAGAGGTGGATGTCTCCCCGAGGCAAAAGAGGGAGGGGGCTGAAGAGGGCTCGAACGGCTCGTGGGATTCCGCGGCAGCCTGCTTCGCGAGTCCACTCTGGCTCGGCAGCGGGGGCCCACGCCACCAAACACACAGAGATGTGTGGCGTTCCAAACAGGGCCTTCGAGGATCGAAGGAGTTGCCATCTCTTCCGCGGCGGAAGGAAGGAATGCCATCTCCTCCGCGGCGGAAGGTCGGCAGAATGCGGCGGGAGTAAAACAGCCGGCGGCTCCGCCGGCGGAGGCTCGGCGGAAGCTCGGCGGAAACTGGCGGAAGCAAAAGTCGACCGCCCAATAGATGGCAACATGTTCGGGTGACGGGTTTCCGGAATCGGCCATGTGTCCATAATTTGGGCGCCGCGTAATGGGGGGGTCATAAATGGGGGGGTGGCGAGGGTGGTTCGAAAAGGTACCCAAACGGTACCTAAACGAGCCCCCTGGGGCTCTGGAGGGGCCCGAAAGGGGCACGAAAGGGGACCTTTTCTGCCCCCCCCATTTGTGACCCCCCCATTGAGCCACGCCCAAATAATCATAGGAGTTGGATCGTCGGCCAGTGCCAGCTTGCGGCAGAGGCCCTGTCGTCTGGCAAAAGCGTCGGTACTGATTTTGCCTGGCCGCGGCGCTCTCTCCGGTCCGCCACGACAGCGGGCTCCTGCTGGCTCCCTCTGCCCGCCGTGACCTGCGCGCCGGATCGCTGTCGCGTCTGGCCCAGGAGACGACGACGACGAGAACGACGGCGAGAACGACGACGAGAACGACGACGACGACGACGAGAACGACGACGAGACGACGACGACGAGGACGACGACGACGACGACGACGACGACGACGACGACGACGACGACGACGACGACGACGACGACGACGACGACGACGACGACGACGACGACGACGACGACGACGACGACGACGACGACGACGACGACGACGACGACGACGACGACGACGACGACGACGACGACGACGACGACGACGACGACGACGACGACGACGACGACGACGACGACGACGACGACGACGACGACGACGACGACGACGACGACGACGACGACGACGACGACGACGGACGACGACGACGACGACGACGACGACGACGACGACGACGACGACGACGACGACGACGACGACGACGACGACTACGACGGCGACGGCGACGACGACGACGACGACGACCGCGGGTCTGCACTTGCTGCGACTGTCCGAAGGAGGCTCGCCGCTACCTGGTAGCAGCTCCCGAAACCTCGGACCGGGGACGGCGTCTGCGGGAGGAGGCGGTGGGCCTTCCTAGGAGGCGGCGTCCTGGGAGGCCTCTCCCGAGGTCCATCGGTCCTTCGGTCCCTCGGGTGCGTCGAGGAGTGCAAGGAGCGTCGCTGAGCGCTACAAGACACTTCAATATGTTATGCCTCGTTTCTGACTGATCCACGCGACTGCATTTTCCCGCGAGCCTCGACATCAGCCACTGCGCCGTCGTTGCGCGGGAGCGCCGCCTGTCATCTCTTGTTGCTCGATTAGACGGGGCTGGTTCAGCTCTTCCTCCTTCAACTCCTCCTCATCCTCATCCTCCTCCTCCTCCTCCTCCTCCTCCTCCTCCTCCCCCTCCTCCTCCTCCTCCTCCCCTCCTCCTCCTCCTCCCCTCCTCCTCCTCCTCCGCCTCCTCCTCCTCCTCCTCTTCCTCCCCCTCCTCCTCCCGTCTTGAGCGGGCCCCAGTTCGGGATGAGCGGTCTCGCCGCGAGGACGGCTCGTTTCTTTTCGGCGCTCGTCGGACGTGCGGAGTCCGCGTGCTGGACCCTGCCACGGGTGAGTCGCGCATCACTGCCGCGGTCGAAGGGCCGACGACCTGGGGCCGGCTCATGGTGTCGACCGTCGCCCGGCATCCATCCCCCAGGATGGGGTCGGAGTGAATCGCCAGCAGCACGTACGGGGCCATGTGTATCAGTCACCTTGCCGCGGAAGTATCCGATTCCAGATCTGCGAGGCGGAGCAGCGAGGACTCCAGCAGCCTCGCCTTCCCGTCCCCGCGCTGCCAGGGACGTCGATGCAGCTCTCTCTTGTTTTGTCACAGCGCCGAGGCCGACACGGACGTTCCTCGCGCAGCAGAGCGAAACGCGCACCTCGGCGCGGTGCCACTGGAGCGTGCCCCAGCGCCTGCGAGGCCCGAGCGTGCTGTCACTTGCTCGACCTCATGGGTATCTTCTTTCGGGCCGGCCCGGTAAACTCCTGTGGCCTCTCGGGTGGACATGCGAGAAGGAGGGGGGTGCTGCGGAGAGGAGAGGAAGGAGGAGGTTGGGGCAGAAGGGAAAGAGGGTGGAGCGGAGGACGGCGGAGGAAGCCTGGTCCTCGCCTGTCCCAAGGTCAGGGACTACTCCAAGGCGCACGGGCTGGATCTTGATCAGGTCTGCTTGAAGGCCTTGTCGCGCCTGGCTTTCTACAAGGCTAAAGACCTGATCGACGATGTCTTGTTGGGGGGCAAGAACCGCACTGGCGTGACGAACCCCTCCAGGCGCGGTCTGGAGGAGGAGGGTGAGGAGGAGGAGGCGGAGGAGGAGGAGGAAGGAGGAGGAGGAGGAGGAGCAGCAGTAGGAGGAGGAGGAGGAGGAGGAGGAGGAGGAGGAGGAGGAGGAGGAGGTGGAGGAGGAGGAGGAGGAGGGGGAGACGGAGGAGGAGGAAGGAGGAGGAAAGGAGGAGGAGGAGGAGGAGGAGGAGGAGGAGGAGGACGCTGGCAGTGCCACGGAGCCCACATGACGTCCGTTGTTGTTGAGCGTTCGCCAGCCTGCCGGCGAACGCCCACAGGCACCAGGGCGTGGCGACGTATCAAGGCAAGGAGGAGGATAAGGACGAGGAGGCAGGACATTATGACGAGGAGAGGGGTAACAAAGGCAAGGACGGGGAGAAGTGCAGAAAAGAGGTGAAGGAGTAGGAGGAGGAGCAGGAGGAGTTGGAGGAGGAGGAGGAGGAGGAATAGAAGAGAAGACGAAGAAGGAAGAGGAGGAAGAGGAGGTGGAGGAGGAGGAGGATGAGAAGGAGGAGAGTATGCAGCATGTGCAAGAGAAGGAGGAGAGGAGTTGGAGGGGGAGGGCGAGAAGGGGGAGGAGAAGGATGGGCAAAGAGGAGAAGGCAGCAGAGAGAAAGAGAAGCGGCATGATCGATGAGGAGGAGGAGGAAGAGGCGGAGGCGGAGGAGGAGGAGGAGGAGGAGGAGAGAACAACAAGGGGTAACCCAACACATTTCACGGTTGCTCCTGTGCGTCTTCTTTCCCCAATTTTTGTTTCGCCCTCTGGAAGAGTGAGGGTCTCACGAGCGTGTTTCAGATTGATTCGGCACTTGTGAGGTATGTATTGTTCGTGGAGTAGTCTGAACCCTACAGCACTTCCACGGAAAGTGTCCCTGGGAGGATTGAAGTGCGGGGCTCTTTACGCTTTCAAGAAGGCGAATAGATGATTTCATAGTGGTCCGCGTGGTGTACGAACCGTATTGCATAGAGGGAACACCGCCACCCGTCCTTGGATTTGGCATACGTGCTAATTGTCAGCGGGGTCTTCGCGGCGCGGAGGCAGCATATCGGATCTTTGAAGCTGGAGCGCCTTGAATTGTTGGAATTGCTCAATGTCACGATCTGTGTTGACCTTTCGGGCGAGGGGGCGCTGTGAACACCATCCGCCCTCCACCTGAGTGCTTGTTGGAAAATTGAAGTTTGTTGCGGAAGGCTGCGAGGGGGAGGCTAGGCTAGGCGAAGCGCGCAACCCGCAGCAGCATGCTTGGGTGTCCGGCCGGAAGAATGTACTAACACGAGGGGTGAAAAGAGAGATGGACGAGCGGCTAAGGCGGACCATGATGGTGAGGAGGAGGACCAGGGGAAGACGTCGCAAGAGGTAATGGCCCGCGGCATCACCACGACCCTGCCGCACCACGACCCTGCCGGGTGGTAAGTGTTATTAGTGCAACCTCGGATCCTGCTCCCCCAGAGGTCTTCGGAGGTGCCCGGAGGCACCAAAAACACCGTCCTCGATCCTCGATCGTCGTGGGCAGCATGTTTTGCATGACCGTGCCGAGGCGTGGTCCGCCCCGCCCTCTCCGTTGCTTTGGAGCTCCGCACCGCCCACCGTGACCCTGGCGCAAGCACTGCTCCGAGAGGTCCAGGGACGCTGTGCGGCCTGCGGGGGCCTTCGCCTTGGCACCACTGTCCGTGGAGCCAGGCGGGCGAAGCGCCACCCAGGCAGTGCCCCGACGTCCCCCGAGGCCTCCCGAGATCCTCGGGGTCTTCCCTGCCCCAATGCCTGCCCCGAGGTGGGGCGTTCCAGAGACGGCCTTGCCTGCGAGGGTTGAAGGAGTTGTCATCTCTTCCGCCGCGGGATGCGGCGGAAGGTCGGCGGAAGGTCGGCGGAAGTAAAATGAGGCCGCCTCCGCCGGCGGAAGCTCGGCGGAAGGCGGCGGAAGTTCAAACAACACGCTTCCAAGAGATGAACACGTTTTTGGGCACAGGGTTTCAGAAATCCGCCAGGTGTCCAGAAGTTCCCAGAGCCCCAAAGGAGCTGGAAACATCCACACGCCTCGATGCGCCTGCTCCCTCTCCTGCTGCCCTCCCTCTCGCCGCCCTGATCTGTTGGGATCCGTCGGCCTCCAAGGCTCGCCGAATCGCCCCAGGATTAAGTCGAGCATGTCCCTCTACAGGAGGAAGATCCAAAAACAGTCCAGGAACAATATGGGGACGATTTTTCGATGGCGCTTGCTCCATTTTGAGCACGCTTTGATTCTCTCTTACTGTTCGTGCAAAGTCCGCCTGTACAGTCGGGGCCCTGAAGAAGGAACCCTTTTTGTTGTGGAGGGGCTCCGTGTTCCTTAGTTGCTTTACAGTGCTCCTTGGGTTGTCCTGAAGTTTTCCATGGAAAATCGGAGTTTACTATATGGGAAAAAGGGGCCTCGTTCCTTATTTAGGGTTCCTTAGGCTAACGCCTCGACTGCAGGAGGACACGCCCGACCGGTCCAGGTACCTGACCATCGGGTGCCAGAGGCTCACCACGGGCCTCGGCGTGGAGCAGGGGCTCGCCATGAGGGGGGCGAAAACAACGACAGGAGCATACAAAAGCTCGGAGGTCCGCGCGTACTTCTCGGATCGGCGCTGGACCCCCCCCTCCCTGGCGCGCGGAGCGCGCCAGGGGCGGCGCTGGGGGCGCCGCGAGGGGGCCCCGGTGCCGATCCGAGAAGTCCGCGCGGACCTCCGAGCTTTTCTGCTTATATGCCATCGTTCGTTCCCCTGGCCATGGAGCTGGCCGTGTCCCTGGGCGTGGTGCTCAACAACGACGCCCTGGACGAGCTGGCCTGCATCCCCAGGCCCCCGGCGCGCGGGCGGAGCGGCAGTCGGCGCGGGAGCGGCGGCCACGAGGCACGGGCAGACTTGATGAGTGGGGCGCGGGTGGACGAGGATCGGGGGGCAGGAGGGCATCAGAGTGCAAGAGGAGGAGGACGAGTGAGTGAGGGACGACAGTCGCGAAGCGAGTCCAGTGGATCACGAAGCCCGACGAGCCAACTCTGCTCGGCTGCGGACCTTAGGCCAGCGCCCTGCGATCATATTGGCAACATGTATGGCTCGATTTGGGTTCGTGGCCTCATGACACGGATGCCCGAGGCCTCTCAAACACTGACTGGCGAAGTGCCCACACAAGCAACATAACCACAATCTAAGCCCTTTCTGGAAACGCATCCGACGACCACTGTGCACAACCCCCCCGTGGCGGGGAGGGAGGCGGAGGACGAGGAGAGGGGGTGGGGGAAGGGGAGAAAGGACGAGGAAGAAGTTGTCATCTGAAATTGGTCATGGCGGTGGTCGGGTCGTCTTGGGTCTTGGGGCTACTTCCCCCCCACCCGGAAGCCCCCAGGGCCGCAAGAAGATGGTTGCTTCCGTACGTACGCCTACCAGCACCCATAGGAGGTGAGGTTCCGTTGGTTCTGCCTGTTTCCGCTCTCCGCTAGACCTGCCCTTCCTCACCCCCCGACGAAGACAGTTGCTCGTCTGGCAGCACCCATGGGCAGCGAGGTTCCGTTGTTGCAGCGCGATTCCAGGCTCATTTGGTTCTCCCAGTCCTGAGACGCAACAACTTGCGGATGTTGTGAGCGGGCAGCGCACAGGGAAGCGAGAGAGAACAAATGAGGGGGGAGAGAGAACGAGAGAGAGAGAGAGAACACAAACAAGAATAATGAGAGAGCGAGAGAGAGAGAGAGAGAGAGAAACAAAAAATCACAATCAAAAACAGCGGGCATGAATAAGGAGGCTGGACACGCGGAGAGGGAGGATTAAGAAGAGAAGACGAATCAGTGGCAGGACGGTGGGCAACATGTGCTCAGCTCGAAAGGAGGGGTCGGCCACAGTAAGTGTTGGATAATATTTGTCGCGGCGCGCCAGCAGCGATCCGCTCGCGCGTCCGAGCCATCCGGGCTACGGCATTGCGAATTGCCCCGCGTGCAAGAAGAGGCAGAGGAAAAGAAGAGAGCCGACCGCAGAGACAGGAGGAGGAGGAGGAAGGCGCACTCACGCGGCGAGGCCGCGGGGGGCGCCGGGGGCGGCCAGGCCGCAGGGCGGCCTCTGGCAGCGAACGCAGGGCGGCGTCGCGGGCGCACCCAGGGGAGGCGCCGGCAGCCGCAATGGAGGGCGGGGCCCAGCAGGCGAAAGGCAGCGGAGGCAGCGGCCCGCCAATGGGCGCCAGGGGCGGGCCGGGGGGCGGCGGCGCGGACTGGCGGCGGCGGGTGGGCGCGGGGCCCAGCCCGGCGCCGCGCGGCAGGGGCGAGACGGGCAGTAGCGCGAGGGGGGGGGTCAAAGATAGGGGAGCGAAGGATGATGACACAAACACGAAAGCTCGGAGGTCCGCGCGGATTTCTCGGATCGGCGCCGGAGGCGCCGCCAGGGGGTCCCATCGCCGATCCGAAGAATCCGCGCGGACCCTCCGCGTTTTTATGTTCATGTCGTTGAGGCGGGGGCAGGAAGGGCGCCGACGCCCGGGAGCCGCCGAGCGGCGCGTGGCAGTGCGCAGGGGCAAGGGGCGGCGGAGCAGGAGGCGAAGAGGCAGAAGGGCTGGATAACATGCGCGGCGTTGATTTCACAGACGTCAGCGCGTCACGCTGGCCAGGCCACACGAAGTATGCGACGAGCGCGTGCACGGGAATCTCGCTGCTCTGGGCGATGCCCCACCGACGAACCGCATGTCCCCAGCTCCCTTGTGATGTATGACACATGTCAGAAACATGGTACCACTGGTGAAGGACTGTAGCAGGCGCAAGCGACAGACGACATAAAGTATGACAAAACCAGGGGCAACGCAGTGTTGAACATCTGCCCGCAGAACACGACTTGACACGTGCAGGTTGGAAGAGAACCCAAAGCGCTTCTAGTGACAACGACAGACACTAGTAACACCCGAAGTTGACATACGACCGCGAGAACAGGCAGGCGTTGATCATGACAAGGAACAGCAAGGCAAACCTAATCCCGACATGTGACACTGGCGTAAATACGCAAACGAGCATATACAATGACGATAATCTTGCAGCAAACATGAAGCAATGGCCGACAGACGTGGCACCCAACACGCTTAAGTTTCGAAGCGCACATGACCATTTGCATCGGACAAGCGGTATGCGAGCAAGACTGACCCGCGAGCATGATAGAGACACCTGGTACACGAAAACAGCATGCACACGTGACAGAAACAGACGACATGTTCAGCAGTATGTTGTTGGGGCCGTTCGACATATGCAACGATGCACAACTGTTCCCTACCTAGGCTCTGCCTAGAAGGGTTCTTACACTCTGGGCTTAAAGGGGCCAGGCAGTGGAAAGCGCCCCGGGCGGTTCCCCCAGTATCCGCCCCGCGGTTCCCCCAGTTACGTCCCCTTAACTTAGCGTCGCTAATCTCATCTTAGTTTAGCTTATTCCATCTTAGCTTAGCTTAGCTTCATCTTAGCTCAGGTTTATCTTAGCTTAGCTTACTTTAATATTAGCTTCGCTGAGCTTTAGCATAGCAGAGCACAGCATATTATAGCATAGCGTAGCATAGCATAGCGCAGCACAGCATATCATAGCATAGCCCAGCATAGCATAGCATAGCGCAGCATAGCATAGCATAGCATAGCGCAGCACAGCACAGCACAGCCAAGCACAGCGCAGCATAGCATAGCATAGCATAGCAGAGCAGATAATTGCATAGCATAGCACCAAAGCGAAGGCACAGCAACAGCATAGCATAGCAGAGCAAAGCATAGGCAGAGCATAGCAAAGCATCCAGCTCCTGGTCCTCCTGCCCCGGATCTGTGAGTGTATTTCGTGTGTGCCAACCGCGTTGCCAGTTTAGTTTTCTGTTCGGGTAATTTGCATGGGTGTAATTTCCTACCTAGGCTCTGCCTAGATGATTGGCTTAGCTTAACTTAGCTTAGCTTAGCATAGCGCAGCGCTGCATTAGCATAGCATAGCAAAGCATAACATAGCCAAGCATAGCATAACATATCATATCATAGCGCAGCATAGCATAGCATAGCATAGCCTAGCATAGCATAGCATATCGCAGCTTAGCATAGCATATCATAGCATATCATGGCATAGCTTAGCATTGCACAGCGCAGCATGACATAGCATATATTAACATAGCGTGTCATAGCATATCATAGCATAGCAAAGCATAGCGCAGCATAGCATATCATGGCATAGCATGGCATAGCATAGCATATCATAGCGCAGCATATCATGACGTAGCATAGCATAGCATAGCATAGCAACTAATGCTGCTTTCCTAGGGGCTCCAACTTCTAGGTAGGGTCGCACTGGGGTAATTTGTGTGGTGGTTGGGTCCATCCGTTCTTCTTGCTCAAGAGGTCCGAATGACAAGTCTTTGCGGCTTGCGCCATCTACCCGAGGACGTCTTTTAGGGAGGTTGCCTGTGATGCCCAGCTACCAAGGCATGCGCCCAGCGTGGGTGGACGTCACCAATTCTCCAAGCCGGCCCAGTCGCTACGCTCTTTACCCGCCTTTGACGCCCGGGATGGTCGCGTATCTGCCAGTGTGTTCGTTTGGAGACGGGGGCTCCGAGTTCCATGAGACCGCATCTTTCCAAGATGCCATTGGAGACGAGGTGAACACGGCGGCGATGGAAAAGGCTGCATTTTGCATGCGAACTAGCCCCGACGCTGAGTCCATGGCCTTTGGGGTTATCAAGAACTTGCCCAGCAGGCGCAGTGAAGAGCAAGTGCTGGATGTGATTTCGCAGCTGGGCTTTGGCTCCAGCCTCACTGGCTTCATCATGCCCACGCGAGTCGGAAAGGGCAACCGGAAGTTGAACAAAGGCTTCGCGTTCGTGTACTTCTCTGATCAGAGGGTGTGCCGGGAGTTCGTGGAAGCCGCGGCAGGGTATTCTGGCTTCGGGGAGCATGGTGCCAGCAGGTCCATCTCCGTGGTCTTCTCCCTGCACTGCAGCGGCAGCCCGCGCGCGACGTCCTCGGGAGTGTCGTCCCACGAGACGGGCCACTAGCGGGAAGAAGCTTGTCACGGGCTGAGGGAGGGCGCTCGCCGGCAGTCTGTTCTGATCGCCGCGCGTACGCACGCGCCCACCAGCGGGTTCGAAACCCGCCTGCAGCCCACTCTTCCCGGAGGGAGTCACACGCGCCAGAGCTGAAACGGAAGTCATGATGCATGTTCCCAGTGCAAGGGCTGTCTAGGCCTCGAGCGCTCTCGAACACCAACATCATGTTGTGTTGGATTTCCGAAATGGCCGTTCAGACCTCACGGATGTAACAACGCTTTTCCAATGTGTGGCAGTTTGCGTGATCGTGCATGCAAGTGTTCGGTTGTCTGTTGCCACGCGATGCAGATGAAAAGTCGGGTCCTCCAGACTCGCCAGACTTTGTTGCCTCGCCCGCGCAGGTTTGCGCCGTACGTTCGTGCCACGAAGCGTGTGAAAGGTGTGCCTACATGGGCCTGCCACGAAGCGTGTGAAAGGTGTGCCCACATGGACCCTCGTTCGCCATGCGGGCGCGCCCACCGGGGCCGCATGTGGAGCTCCCTATGAGGCCACGAAGTGTGAACGGGTTCGCCGACATGAACCCGCGTACGCTATGCGGGCCCGCCATCTGGGGCCGATGGTGGAGCTCCCTGTGGTGCCACGACGCGTGCGAGGGGTGTGCGGACATGGACCATGCGGGCGCGCCCACTGGGGCCATGTGCGGAGTTGCCCATGAGGCCATGAAGCGTGAAACAGGTACCGACATGGACCAGCGTACGCTACGCGGGCGCGCCACCTCGGGCCGCTGGTGGATCTCTCTATGGGGCAACGGAGTTTGTGATGGGTGTG